GGCGGGGGATGGAAGCCAGTGCAGGGATCGGCAGAGGGGGGAGGGGGATGGAAGCCAGTGCAGGGATCAGCAGAGGGGGGCGGGGAATGGAAGCCAGTGCAGGGATCGGCAGAGGGGGGTTGCAGACACTGAGGTCAGGTGGTGAGTCTAGAAGCCCCCATTCTGATATTTGAGGAGCCTATATCGGTTGGGGGGTCTCTGCGTTTTTGGGTCGGCACGCTCACTGCAGCCACCATCCCCGCCGGAGTTCTCAGATATTTATTACTATGTAGAATGTAACGGGAGGAATAACCAGCACAGGGGACGGGAACATGCCAGAACTATGTCAGAGAGACCTGACTGCTGCTGTCCCCAAATTCTAAAGGTAACCTGCTGGTTGCTTAATCTGCAGACTCCACCTACAACCACTCTATGGCACTGGGAGGACCGGCCCTGTAGAGGACGCATGTAACGCACACTAACCTTCAGCAATTGTCCTTTAGTGAAGTTATTGATGTTGTACTTTTGTTGGCACTCCGGCCTCAGGAGAAGATTGTAGAGCGCGATCCACACCTGGCCGTCCAGTTTGGTCATCTTCTGCTGGTCCTCGGCCGGCACACACAGCCAGCGGCCGTTCTCATATCTCTGCAGCTGACCTGCGGGATGGAAAGAGAAGAAAACCCGGAAATGTTCCAATAGAAGGTGAAATATTTATGAAAGCGTCCCAATAGTCCCCGTTATCTGTAGAACATCATTTCCGTGGAGTCTGTGATCATGAATGGAGATGAGACCGGAATCTGTCACAGAGAAAGAGGGAAATCCTCCCGTACCCTGCGCCACATTCACCACCAACTCCTACTGATGGGATGACCTTGGGGGTGAAAAGTCTGTTTATTATATAGAGACTTCAGAACCTCCGACCCCCATCCTCTCCTCTCTAGAACCTCCGACCCCCATCCTCTCCTCTCTAGAACCTCCGACCCCCATCCTCTCCTCTCTAGAACCTCCGACCCCCATCCTCTCCTCTCTAGAACCTCCGACCCCCATCCTCTCCTCTCTAGAACCTCCGACCCCCATCCTCTCCTCTCTAGAACCTCCGACCCCCATCCTCTCCTCTCCAGAACCTCAGATCCTCATCCTCTCCAGAACCTCAGGTCCCCATCCTCTCCTCTCCAGAACCTCAGATCCCCATCCTCTCCTCTCCAGAACCTCAGATCCCCATCCTCTCCTCTCCAGAACCTCAGATCCCCATCCTCTCCTCTCCAGAACCTCAGATCCCCATCCTCTCCTCTCCAGAACCTCAGATCACCATCCTCTCCTCTCCAGAACCTCAGATCACCATCCTCTCCTCTCCAGAACCTCAGATCACCATCCTCTCCTCTCCAGAACCTCAGATCCTCATCCTCTCCTCTCCAGAACCTCAGATCCCCATCCTCTCCAGAACCTCAGATCCTCTCCTCTCCAGAACCTCAGATCCTCATCCTCTCAAGAACCTCAGATCCTCATCCTCTCCTCTCAAGAACCTCAGATCCCCATCCTCTCCAGAACCTCAGGTCCCCACCCTCTCCTCTCCAGAACCTCAGATCCTCATCCTCGCCTCTCCAGAACCTCAGGTCCCCATCCTCTCCAGAACCTCAGGTCCCCATCCTCTCCACAACCTCAGGTCCCCATCCTCTCCAGAACCTCAGATCCCCATCCTCTCCAGAACCTCAGATCCCCATCCTCTCCAGAACCCCAGATCCCCATCCTCTCCAGAACCTTAGATCCCCATCCTCTCCAGAACCTCAGATCCCCATCCTCTCCAGAACCTCAGATCCCCATCCTCTCCTCTCCAGAACCCCATCCTCTCCAGAACCTCAGGTCCCCAGCCTCTCCTCTCCAGAACCTCAGGTCCCCATCCTCTCCTCTCCAGAACCTCAGATCTCTCTCCTCTCCAGAATTTCAGATGCCCATCCTCTCTATTGCATAACCTCTGAGCCCCATCCTCTCCTCTCCAGAACCTCCAACCACCATCCTCTCTACTCTAAGACCTCAGATCCTCATCCTTTTCTTCTGGACCTCAGACCCCCATCCTCACTACTCCAGAACCTCAGACCGGCCTCCTGTCCTCCAGAACCTTAGAACCCAATACTTTGTTTCCATAACCTTAGCCCCCTATCCTCTCCACTCCAGAACCTCATCTTCTCACTGCCAAAACCTCAGATCAACCTTCCTCTCCTCTTCAGAACCTTGGACCTCCACCCTCCTCCTGCCAGAACCTTGGATCTCCACCCTCCTCCTTCCAGAACCTTGGACCTCCATCCTCCTCCTGCCAGAACCTTACATCCCATCGTTTATTCTCCAGAATCCCAAATCCCCCCCAAAGTCTTTTGCCCCTCCAGAACCTCAGACCCTATCTTTTCCAAATCTAGAACCACAGATCTCTATTGTTCCCCACCCTAACTACAGTACCCTCATCCTCTTCACCATAGCCCAGACCCCCATTCTCTCACCACACAGAGCCCCCTTCCCCCATCTTTTCTCCATCTATTATCTTCATCTCAGGAACCTCAGACCCCCCATCCTCCCCCCTCCAAAGCACCAGTCAAGCTGGGATTTAGCCAATCACGGTACGCCTGTACTGATCTGGCTTCATGACAGTGAGCTCTGATTGGTTGTTATGGATTTCTGGATGAACAGGTTTTATTACTAATGGAAAGCAATTTGTATGTTTTCTTCGCCAGCTGAAAAGATTTCTGATTTGCGGAGACGAGAGAAAAGTGAACTCCAGACTGGCTGACAGGACGTCATCAATATTTCTCTTCCTCCAGTTAATGAAATAAATCTCCTGGTGTTATCTGCAGCTTCTATGGAGTCCGGACGTGTCATGTAATACGGACAGAGCAGAGAATTCGGGGACAGAACGGTACAATGCGCGTCCTCTAATACAGCTTTATAACTCAGTGAGAACCTTTGCAGTGCGGCATTCATCAATGGGTAGTGTTGGCTCCCCGCCTGCCCCCACCCCCGCCCCATAATAAGGGTACCTTTGTTTCGCCGACTCCATGGACAATGCTCCATTAGCTCCACCAGGACACAGGGCAGGTTGTGGGTGTTCAGTAGTCGCGTGGTCACGCTAAGCGACAGACTGCAAATAGACAGAGAATATCACATAGTGATCCGATCCCTAGGACCAGACACCGAACCGTCATCTCCATCCTCACCTGTCTGTGTGGTCGGTGACGTAACGCAGGACTGACAGACACTTCAGGGCAACGTCAAACTCCAAGGCCTCAGACTGCTGCTTCAGTTCCTGGAACGAGGAGGAGAGGGTTTCATGGGCCATTCATGCAGCGAACGTCATGCTGAGGGTCTAGCACGCATTAAAGATGCATTTGGACAGAACCGATGGACTTATGACGCGCAAGGCATTTTACGGACTTGCCACGAGGAAGAAGATAAATTGCGCAATTTGTTGTGCGTCCGACATTTCGGCAGGGCTCAGCGCACCAGCGACAGTGATGACAAGTCAATAATAACGCTTACCGCCTTTAAATACCCTCCCCCGCATGTCATAGCGCCACCCATAGTGAGACACATAATAATATAGCCCGTGGTTACCCCTGGCAACATAAGTGCAACAATTGATCAACTTTGTATCTAAAGGCTGATAGAACACAAATAAATATATCGACATAATGAGGCGACATGGGAAAGGAGGTCGTGTACATACCAGTAACATGAAACAATCATGAGCAGCCCCCACATGTATGTAGAATCCGCTCCGCCGTGTCCTTCTGGTTACCACTTACCTCTAGTGAAGAGACGTCGCCGGACACGTTCACCATCATCCTGTCCCGGACCGGAAACTCTCCAGGGGAACCCTTTGATGCCAGAATAGTGAGTTTGCGGTGGCAGTAGTCGATCAGATCCAAGGCCAGATCCTCTGCAGACTCGCACACTTCCTGTCACACAATATGGACACATTCAGGGAAATGGCTTCAATCTGCTCATATCACCAGGTAACGATGAAACCAAACCGAGGAACCGCATATGAAAGCCGCCAGGCAAGGACCAGTGTCTTAGTGATGTGTGGGCCTGGTGCAAGCCCTGCCCGCCCGAGCTCGCCCAAACCCCTTCCTGGGCCAATCAGTTGTGGTCGTTACAGAAGACATTCCCTGACCCTTTGTGAGGTATACCTGCGGGACAGGGAATGCCCCGCCCCCTACCACTACTTATTGCGCTGGGAGGGGGGTGTCAGTCACAGTTCTGCAGGGGCACACTCCGGTGAACTGGGTTGGCACCTAGCTCCCGCTCATCAATAGTCATAATGGTGCCAAACCGATATCACAGAAACTAGAATAAAATCACTTCAGTTTCTGATTTACCGAAAGCCGACCTGCAGTCACATACACTGAGTGGCCGGATTATTATATACACTGAGTGGCCGGATTATTATATACACCGAGTGGCCGGATTATTATATACACCGAGTGGCCGGATTATTATATACACCGAGTGGCCGGATTATTATATACACCGAGTGGCCGGATTATTATATACACTGAGTGGCCGGATTATTATATACACTGAGTGGCCGGATTATTATATACACTGAGTGGCCGGATTATTATATACACTGAGTGGCCGGATTATTATATACACTGAGTGGCCGGATTATTATATACACTGAGTGGCCGGATTATTATATACACTGAGTGGCCGGATTATTATATACACTGAGTGGCCGGATTATTATATACACTGAGTGGCCGGATTATTATATACACTGAGTGGCCGGATTATTATATACACTGAGTGGCCGGATTATTACATACACTGAGTGGCCGGATTATTATATACACTGAGTGGCCGGATTATTACATACACTGAGTGGCCGGATTATTATATACACTGAGTGGCCGGATTATTATATACACTGAGTGGCCGGATTATTATATACACCGAGTGGCCAGATTATTATATACACTGAGTGGCCGGATTATTATATACACTGAGTGGCCGGATTATTATATACACTGAGTGGCCGGATTATTATATACACTGAGTGGCCGGATTATTATATACACTGAGTGGCCGGATTATTATATACACTGAGTGGCCGGATTATTATATACACTGAGTGGCCGGATTATTATATACACTGAGTGGCCGGATTATTATATACACTGAGTGGCCGGATTATTATATACACTGAGTGGCCGGATTATTATATACACTGAGTGGCCGGATTATTATATATACCGAGTGGCCGGATTATTATATACACTGAGCGGCTGGATTATTATATACACTGAGTGGCCGGATTATTATATACACCGAGTTGTCTTCCTAGGAAATGTCTTCCTCCTGCCGGCAGCAGACTGATGACATCATCTCAGCCTAGGCACAGTCACCAGGGACGGCTTTTAATGATAAAAGAAGGAGCTTTGCTCAGAATTGATATATTGCGACACGTCAGGAATTTCCTATACAGACTTGTGAAGTTACTGACAGGTCCACTTTAATGATGTGACCTCAATGCGTGGCGCCGATGTCTGTGTGTGTGAATATCGGCCATCCTCACCTTGTGATAGAAGACGGTTTCCAGCAGGTTAATGATGGTGGCCTCGTGGTGTATCTGTAGAGGAAGAACATACCGTAGATGATTGTCAGCTCCCGTGTCCCATCAGCGGGGGCGGGGACAGAACTTACCACCATGTAGAGGGGGAAGGTGCTACTGGGCTGGAAATCCTGCAGCTGGCATAACACGGGAAAGACTTTCACCTTCCAGATCTCTATGCTGATCAGCTGGCGGATTAATGTGCGGATCTGCGAGACAAAGAGACGGGACGGGTGACAACTTTAACTCTGGAGAGAACTAGAGATGAGATGGTGTCAGGAAGGGAGGAGCCATCCCTCTGTTGTGTTAGAGTGTGGGGACCATACCCTAAGCTGGAGTGTAGTGAGTTTTGCAGACCGGTCCCTTCAGCCTCCCTCCCCCTCCCCCTCCGAGACTCATCACAACCAGTACAGTGTATTGGACGGGAGGACGCCGAATGACATTCCATCACTGGATCACAGGGGGAGACAGGCTGCAGGGACCAGTCTAGCAGCCAAGGTTCGGGTGAATATATCTTTCTTATTTTACACCCTAGAAGATGAAAACAAACATTTAACCCTTTGCAGTGCCGGGGGTAGTTTTCTTCTGCCCGGAGCTCTTTAAGCTTTGAAAAGTTTCACACCTCAGAGGTGTTTTGGAGGTTCTGAGTGTCGGTCCAGCTCGGCATACCTGAGGGGTCAGAAATGGACCACATAGAGCCCGATCTGAACCTCACTTGTGAGCCACGTCCTGTGCTGGGCTCCTCCAGGGGGTTGGTAACAAGCAGATCCGAAACACCAATTATGACATACGGATAGTTCTGGGCTTGCTGCATAATGTATGTGTCTGCAGGAGCTGAGTGCTACATATCGGGAAGATGGCGGAGAACAATGGAGGCCTGAGGAGCTTTAGGGGGACCCCAGAGGAGCCGATATCTCCCTGCCTGCTGCTCATCTATGGCCAGCCCGTCCGTACCCCTGTCTCCGTACCCCTGTCTCCGTACCCCTGGCTCCGTACCCCTGGCTCCGTACCCGTTTCCGTACCCCTGGCTCCGTACCCGTTTCCGTACCCCTGGCTCCGTACCCGTGTCTCCGTCACAGAGACAAGCAGTTGCTATGGAAGCACACAAGACTGTAGAAGTCCCTAAACATGTTCACCCTAAAATACGCTAAAAGGTTAATCATTGGTAGAGGAAAGATTGTCTGACCCGCCCCCCCC